GGGGGGGGGGAGGGGGGGGAGAGTGGAGAGGGGAGAGGGGGGGAGAGAGAGAGAGAGAGAGAGAGAGAGAGAGAGAAAAAATGGTGACCACGGTGGGTAAAACACAGAAAAGTGATGTCACAGGCGGACAGGACAACCAATCAGGACATGGGGAAGGAGCCAAAACAAAAACCCGTCCACCAATACACAGTGAGCTCCACCATTTCCTTGTAACACAGAAGACACGTCACAGACAGAGGAGGAGAGATAGGAGAGATCAGAGTCCTCACCCAGCCACACGTAGTACATGATCTTCACGGTCTTCTGGAAGTCCTGTGGGATGTCCACACTGATGTCCTGGTAGAAACAAGGCTGGACGGGGCAGAAGGATGGCAATGGAGGCCAGTTATTCTGCCTTCCTGTGAGGAAAGAGAAGAGTGGCTCAGGTCTACAAAACAATGAGGGGTTATTCCACAATTCTTCATATGCCTCCCCCACTCCAACCCTCTACATACCACGTCTGGCCTCACCATGTCCAACCTCCTCCTAGACTCTCTACACACCAAGCCTGGCATCCACCCCAACCCTCTACACACCAAGCCTGACATTCACCCCAACCCTCTACACACCAAGCCTGGCATCCACCCCAACCCTCTACACACCAAGCCTGACATTCACCCCAACCCTCTACACACCAAGCGTGACATCCACCCCAACCCTCTACACACCAAGCCTGACATCCACCCCAACCCTCTACACACCAAGCCTGGCATCCACCCCAACCCTCTACACACTAAGCCTGTCATCCACCCCAACTCTCTTCATACTACACCGGGCCTCCCAATCCCTCTACATACCACCCCGGGCCCCCAACCTTCGACATACTACACTCCAAATCTTCTACATACCACACCAAGCCGCCTCATAACCGACTACATAGCGTGCCCAGCCTCCACCCCAACCTTGACCATACCACATCCAGCCTCCCTTGACCTTCTTCATAATGTGCCTGGTCTCTCTCTGATCCTCTTCATACCCCCTGACCCTCTTCATACTGCACTCACGCCCTCCTACCGATCCCCCCAGCCACACACCTTCATACCGCACCCAGACATTCCCTTGACCCACTACATACTAACGGAGGCCAGTTATTCTGCCTTCCTGCAGATCCCCCCAGAGCAGCATTCTGTAATTCTCGCTCCCGCCGGTCCAGCTCTTCCGCTTTCCGATTCAGCTCCTCCTGGCGCTTCAGAAGATCCGCTGTGGCTGCAGCTGCGGTTTCCTACAACAGAGGGGGGGGGCAGAAAGAATGTAGGAACCGGTGTGATGGTAGAAAATCACTCCCAAAATATCAGGAATAGGAGGAGAGGGATGGATTTTAAGCGGAATCCAGCGTGATGGTAGTAGATCCCTCCATGAATCGAGAGGAGGAGGAGAGGGGTGGATACAATGTGGGATCTTGTCTGGTAGGAGATCTCCTCCATATATCAGGAGGAGAGGGATAGACAATGTGGGATCTGGAGTGGTAGTAGAAGATCCCCCCATATATCAGGAGGAGAGGGATGGATACAATGTGGGATCCGGTGTGGTAGTAGGAGATCTCCTCCATATATCAGGAGGAGAGGGATGGATACAATGTGGGATCCGGTGTGGTAGTAGGAGATCTCCTCCATATATCAGGAGGAGAGGGATGGATACAATGTGGGATCTGGTGTGGTAGTAGGAGAACCCACATATATCGAGAGGAGGAGAGGGGAGAAAACAGGGTGCAATTCGGTTTGATGGAGGCAACCCCCCCCCCCAATCTATCATCAGGAGAGGGGCAGATATAATGTGGGACCCGGTGTCAAGTTAGACAATTCCCCCCCCCACGCCCATATATTAGGCTATCTTCCTTACCTGGGTTCCATATGATCCATAGTTTTTGGGTTCGGTCGGGCTGATCTTCCTCACCGCGGGGACGGCTGGCTGTGCCGTGGCTGTAGGGAGAGTAGCCGGAGCCTGAAATGCAGACGGTTCATGGTACGGGGGTGGGATCTAGGGGGGAGGAGCACACAGGGAGTCAACACTGGATTTCTGGCAGGATCAGCGGGGATATTTTTACACTTATTGAACAGATAACAAAATGCTTTTGAGAAGATATTTAATGGCCCAAATAAGAGAAGACATACCAGACATATAT